CATAAAGGATGAAAAGTTAAAATGAATGGGTCTACTTATGTAAAATTTAGCGTACTTTTCAGTGGTGTTGTTGTTTTTAACCTTAAATTAATTTTTTCGACCTAAAATTGGTCAAGAACGCGAAAAATCGTGAAATTTCAGCAGATTTTGCCGGATGTTGTTTTTAAATAGTGAAATTCGGAAAAAAAATAATAAAAGCCTAAGTTTGGTATATGATTCTTGATTCATAATTAGAATCTTATGATCTTTCAAACTGATCTCGTGAAATTGTTTTGTTTGACGCATTATTTTTGAGTTATAAAGGAAAATCCGTATGTACGTCCTCCTTGAAAATCGCCGTAAGCCGCCATTTTAAAAAACTGCGATTTGACCAATTTCACGGTGGAATTTTTTGGTAATTTTTTTTTTCTATTTTATTAGGTATCTAGAGACCCTATATACCAAAGGAAAAGTTTGTGCTAATTTGTCCGAGGTAAAAAGCTAGAATGACTGGACTAATTGTCTCCTGATCACGCACTACTTTTCTCCGATTTTTTCGTGCCGTTTTTCCCTCCGCAAACGACTTTTGCAGTTCGAATTTTTAAAACACCGCTTTTGCTTCCACTATAGTGGCAATCCAATATGGCGTCGAAATTACCCCCCGACTTCTTGTCACACATTCGACTGTGCGCCGTCAGCGGTACCTCTACGCGTTCGATTATCCAGGCTAATCAAAACAAGCAAGTAGCTGTTATCAATTGCACCTTTTGACAAAAACTTTAGGTACTTTTTTGGGTAGAGTTTTTTTTTATATCTAGAGGAGAGACAACTCAATTCTGATTGGCCATAAAAAGCACCTAAACGAACGAAATTGAGGGATAAAGAGAAGTACGGAGATCTTGCGATGTCTGGTATCCAAAAACAACAACATCAATGAAACTGATCAAAACCTAACCAAAGATCCCTGCTAAAAATTTCTCACGGGAATTACACTCAGGATGTTTTGGGCAGAAGAATAATTCCCCTCAGACGTGGCTCCCATGGAAAGTGGCTCCCATGAGAAGTGCCTCCCATCGGATGCACCCTAATTCGTGCCCAAAATGCCGTCTCTAATAGCAGAGTCATAGAAGAAAAAGATTAAGGATTAAACACGAAAATTAATTGGTATGATTGCCGTGGCATGTTTTGGACATGAAAGGAACTCTTAGTCATTCTGCAAATCTCCGCACCGCGGTAATCCCAAGCTGTGTCCTATCTAAGTACTAACTACGCCCGAGTTACTTAACCCCCGTGATCGCCCGAGTGCCGCTGCCGTGGAGCTCCGGAGAATCGCGTGTTAATTGCGGGTAATTTAGCAAGCATAAACGACCCCAGCGCTGCGCCGATTCCAGGATGGAAAGCAACGATATTCTTGGAAATTTCTACATTACGCAGTTTCAAAGAAACAAAAATAAAAAAGTAGATCAATTTGTGGAAAGAAAGAAGTGATTAACACATGTAACAAATAAAAAAGATGTATATGTACTTATTAAAACGAAGAAAAATGAATGAATGAAATTTAATAAAATAAAAAAAAATAAAAAATGAATAAATATATAGTATAAATTAAAGTAAATAAAATAAAATAAAATAAAATAGATTAACCTAAATGAATAAATAAAATAAACTAAAAATAGATTAAAATGAATAAATAAATAAATAAATAAATAAATAAAGTAAAGTAGATTCAAATAAACAACTAATAAGTGGAATAAAATGTATTTTAATAAATAAATAAAATTTGTTAAATTATTTACAAAAATAGTAGTAGTGTATCGAATTTATTCGACTCCATAGCATCTTTTGGCTATAACGCACCTGAAAAATATATAAAAATAAATCAATAAATAAAAACAATTTATAAAGATAACAGTTAATAGATAAATAAAATGGATTGAAAAATAAATTTAAAAAAAAAAAAACCAAAAAGCCGGAAGGCCGCCAACTGAACCTTAAAACTACGGGACGCGCGGGGACGAAGGGACAGGATTGAATATCCCCAGACTCCCTAGGGTGCACAGGTGACCGGCTCTTCACTTCCTTGGGAGCACAGGGGATCCCTGTCATTCCCTTAGGAGCACACAGCACAAGGGCTTTCCTGGCTATTCCTCAGGGGAACACACGTGATCTCGTGTCCAGTCCCGGGGGAAGTGTTTATGGGGGTATAACTTGTAAAGCATCTAAAGTAGATAAAGATGCAGCGTTTTGTCGCACTGTATCCGTTCCCAAGTTCGGTGACGTCTTTGTAGGACGCTGTAAGGTCCTGTATGCATTTTCCCTGAATATAGTTCTGTGATGGTCCACTATACATGGTGGGCTGCAGTCACATATGGGCCCGTGGCATTTTCCCTGAAGTTGTATGATGATTCACGAGACACCGTGAGAGGTCCCACGAGAGCACATACGGGTCACATTATACACTCTCATGGGAGCATACGGGTCACATAGACATGTCGGCTTCCAGGGGAGCGCACGGATGGACGCGGGCTCTCCTATCCATTCCCCAGGGGAGCACATGTGATGTCGTGTCATTCCCCTGGGAGCACATCCCCGCTTGTCATTCCCGCGAGAGCGTATGTGATCACATGGCATTCCCATGAGAAATTTTTAGAAAGGCGAAATTGAAATAAAGTAAAATAAGATTGATTTGCAACTAACATAAGTTTAATCTACAGCGGTGCGTAGTAAGAATTTTTTCCGTGCAGGGAGCGCCACCGCTATGTTTTCATTTTTTGGTCCATGCTTTTAGAGTCCGTACAGACCCACGCTTGTCCTTGAGCTTTTATGAAAGTTGTATCAATGAATTTAACAGAAATTCCTTTAACTTTCATAAAAGCCCAAGGACTCGCGTGGGGCTGTGCGGACTCTAAAAGCGTGGACCAAAAAATCAAAACACAGCGGTGGCGCTCCCTACGTGAAAAAAATTCTTACCACGCACCGCTGTAGATTCACCTTAAAGGTACGACACCTAAGACGCGCAAAACGGTGCAGAAGTCGGCACAGCAATCTGTCAAAGGGAAATCAAACGGGTCTGGCACGCAAGGTGCGGAGATCCGTGGCGCGGCGTTTGCCTGGCGCGGACCTCTGCACTGATCTGTCTCGAACAGACCGGGCCGCAAAAACACGTTAAAAATTTCAGTCCGGAGTTCATTGAAGTATTTTTGTCGTCCAAAACATGTTCTACGTGAATTTTTAAGTGGAAAACATGTATGAGAATGCTTTACAATTCGTACCTTGTCTGAGGAGGGCCCAGTTTTACAGGGGAACAAAGTACAAAGATCTATTTAGGTGTAAGTTGTATGTTTTCCTGATTTGTATGTATAAGGGTAAAACAATAAATCAACACAGAACGGTTTGGTTGGTGGCCATTACCAACTGCCGGAAAAAAAATTAAGAGAGTAAGAAATAAGAAAAGCAATCACGAGGTGATTACTTTTCTTATTTATCACTTTTAATTTTTTTTTTAGCATTTGACGAAGGCCAGCACTGGTAAAAAAAAAACCTCTTGGTTCAAGAATGCAGTTTCTTGTCGCCGGATTTAAGAGTCTGGCTCCTTGTTTCAAGCGGATTTTGAATTGAATCAATACAAAATCCGCTTGAAACAAGAGTTCAAGACTCTTAAATCCGGCGACAAGAAATTACACTCTTAAGTCAATGCACCACGGCATTGGACCAAGAGGTTTTTTTTACCAGTGAGGAATAAGATGATTATTTTTCTTATTTGTTACTTTTTTATTCTTTTCACCATTTGACGATAGTCGGGGTCATCGGTCGAAACGTCCTGTGTTGATTTTTTGTCTAAACTTGTTATCCAAGTTTTTATCGCATATTTTATCATGTCACGTTTTCAGGCTACTTACTGTAATTGACAATAATACCTGACAATGTTGTCAATGTTATGTTGAAATCGGAATCTAACTGGAACTCAGTTATGCGTTTTGTCCGCCTAGTTCTCACTACCAAGCATCTCAAGATGTACCCACCCGTTGATATACCGAAAGGTGCAGCCGGGCAGTCTTCTACATCAAATTAAGGTCCTTACTTAGCTCTCTCAGACTTTACTTTCTGGCTCTAAATGTTTCTCTACGCTTTGTTTAATGCCTTAACCTACACTACCTCCAGTCTTCCTACATGCTCTCTAATCATTGGCTGTCTTCATTTAAAGTCTTCTATTTTATCATCTTTTGGGCCTGATCTGCTGTCTTAATGTCCTCGTGTTTTTCTGCTGTAGAATCTTAAATTTGTCTTAATATCCCTGCCAATTTATTGTCATTTTCGCATGTAATTTTCATTTTGTATACTCTTTGTAAACTCTTTTGTAGAATAATAAAAAAAAAAAAAAACTTACTGTAATTAAAGTTCCTAATATGTTTTAGGTACAAGTACTTAAACCGTAATTATTCTTATAGTCTATTGAAAGTATTACATATGCTTTGTCTGTTTCAATTTTTATTTGTGATAAATACTATACCTTCCAGTTGTTCCAGTTGTGTCATCAACAGTAAAATTGCAACGTCTGATATCTCAAAAGTTACCTTAAAACCGCGTCAAAAATATTCACTGCACAATAATGCGATTATTTTTTTAGTTTTCCACGGAATTTGTGAAGATACCTCATGATGAAAAAAGAAAAAAAAATTGGACAGTGGATAAAGGATAGGAAAAATTCATTGATATGGGACGGTTACACTGCTTCATGCAACAAACAGTGTGACATCAGATTGATTGCATGACAAGGCACTTTCGCAACGGAGACAAAAGGGGACAAGTGTCACAGTGCATCAAAACGTGTTGAATCCCCAAAAGAAATGTGTTCACCGTTGCTGGAATACTGATTGAATTTCTCAATAAGTGTCTGGTTAGTTTTATTATGTATTATGCGCTCAAATTGGTGAAGCATTGACCGATTAGTCACAATGACAGATGATGCAGTGGGTTGTGGGTTTAAGCGCCTACTTCGAGCGGAAAAGTAAAAGGAGTACCTTTGTGGTGCAAAAGCAACACTCAAATTCACTGGGGATCTCGTCGACTTTCTCAAAGACCTGTGTTTTTGATATTGAGTTGTTGCTATCGTTAACCGATAGATGCTCCTGAAGAGAAAACACACAAAGCATGTAGATATGGTACACAAAGGAGATGAACATACTAGCGACAGGCCTATCATAAGAAAGATCAGGTAGCCGAAAGACGGAACAGAACTGAGCAGTAGAAAAAATGAGGTTGTAAGGCCAGATATTTACAGATATTTATACAGATAATTGTGCACAAAAATATGAATTAAAAACACCTATAGAAGTGGGGAGTACTGACAAATTTTCGGCAAAATAGTTTATAGTAATGTTCGATCCAGCCATACAGGGTGGCCCAGATCTACCGTACCAGGCCTTTTTTTCGGTTAATTTGGGTCGTAAGAAGTTAAAAATTTCCGTAAGTTCTGATTCCGATGAAATAATCTCAAAATTTTGACATGAACCCTGACTTTTGAATGTACAGACCCCCCTATAATACCCCTAGAGACACCAGGGGGGCTCTGAGACCTTGAAATTCGGCTTCCTTGGGGTCGATTCTCTATTTCTACCTGCGATCCTGGACTTCGTACGACCCAAATTAACCGAAAAAAAGGTCTAGTACGGTAGGTCTGGGCCACCTTGTATGAGATCAAACTAAGACTTCTGATAAGAAATTTTAAGTGTTAAACTCTTCGTCCAATTTTTAAATTATCAAAGTCCGTCAACAACAGGTTTAAAACACTGATTGCAAAAATGCGTAACTCATGATTAAGTGAAGGTCAATGATTCTTAGTGCCGAAAACGTGAATCTTGGTATTTCTGCCGTGTTTTCTGACAGTTCGAAAAACTTTTTCAAAAATCTGATGGAGTCCGAAAAAACATCTTATTCTTGCCATCCTCAAGAATTATTTCCCTTCTCCTGACAATAAGGAGTAATATGGACTGTTTTTTTGGTCTCCTGAAAAATCGTGTTCTCCGAGATACGCACTTTTGCAGTTTCACCATTGATATAATGTGACAAAATCGTAATGAAATGTATATGTGTGATGTAAACCGTAAATATTAATTTATGATGTACTGAAATTGCGACGAGAATTATAGTTGGCAAACTTGACTAATAGAGTGACGAACCTCATAATGAACAATTTTAAGAAGTAATTCGACAAGAATCGGGCTGATTTTTAGTTTTGTAGTGAGCTTTGTAGTGAACTAAAAATGCGAATTGTCTAATGTTAAAAATGAAAGAAACAATAATATTTTTTCCCTATTTAATTTCCAATTTTTTTTATTATCCTCCACTATCCGAGGCTAAAATCTTAGCTCGCTAACTATGCGACGCGTTACAGCTTTGAGGATCAAACCAAGTATATTAGTATCGAAACCCAACACTACAGTATCCAATACAAAATGCACAGTCCCAAACCAAGAAACCACAGTTCTGCTCTGAAAACCACAATTCATATTCCCTATTTTTCGTAATACAAGGTCCTACTATACACCACCGGCGC